TCAAGCGCTGTCTGCTCCACTTATGATTCAGCTCCTTGCTATTGTGCCTGGAAAAAAGAAGCAGAGGATGGCCCAAGTTCTTGGGCCCCTGTACCCACGTGGAGATCCAAGTGAAGCTTCTGGCTTCAGCCTGACTCAGGCCTAGCTGTTGTGGCTATTTGGGGATTTAACCAGCTCTCCCTCTCCCTCTCCCTCTCCCTCTCCCTCTCCCTCTCCCTGTCCCTCCCCCTTTCCTTCTCCCTCTCCTTCTCTTTTTTCCTGCCTCCTTCCTTCCCTCCCTCCCTCCCTCTCTGCCTTTCAAACAAATAAATAAATCTTTTTCTACAAAGTTTATGTAAAGTTTAAAATGACTTAAAGAGAACAGAGCAAATGGATATGCATTTAACCTCTGAATAGGTAAAAGATTGCCAAGTAGACAACAATGGAAACAATTACAAAAGGAAAAACATATATATTGGATTACAGAAAGTTTTAAAATCTCCCACTCTACAAAAACTATTTAAAAATAAAAATAACAAATGCCAGTTTTGATTTTAATCACTTAAGTACTCATAAAAATGATTTTTAAAAATTCCAAGATCTCAGTAAAACAATTAAAGAAGGATATGAAAATAGGAAATTCAGCAAGGAAAAATTATAAATGGCTAAGGGGCATAAAAATCAACTTCAGTCTTCATCAAAGAAATGTATAATACACAAAGATGAATTCTGACTCTTGTTGGAAATTGGAAGCTGTATCCTATCAAGCATCAGAATCAACTTTATTCTTAAAGAAATGTACAATGCGCAAAAATAAATTCTGACTCTTGCTGGAAATTGGGAACTGTATCCTACCTGAGACAGAAATGTCTGATGTCCCTCTCAAATCTGCACCTCCTACAGCCTTGCTTCACAGTGGAGAGCTGGGAGGTGCTGAGAGCCAGGGACTGCAATTCTCCTTAACTCACACAGTTGGGTGTAGCCACCTGCCTGGATTCTAGCCTTTGAAGTGCTAGCAGAACTGAACTGGGCCCATAGAAACCATGCAGCAGAAATCACAGGGCCCATAGAAGCCATCCGGCAGAAACACACCCTGCTCTTGCCTTGTGGCTGGCCCGGATGACCATGAAGTAAAGTATTGAAGAGTACAAAGACTTGTCAACTCTGGCTACCTCAAAGACCCAGATGGATTGGATCCTGACATTCCATTCATATACCCACTGCTGTCAGGTGAACAGGAAATCCATTTCTACTGTGCCTGAGCCACCACACATTTTGGAGTCTATCTGTAATAGAAGTCAGCCTCCCATAAACAATACAACTTTGGACCTTCCTCCTCTGAGAGACTCTCCAGGCTGAAAACACATGCAGCTTTTTTGGCCATGTGGTGTGGTTGTGTTTCAATAAAACTTTATTTAAGGAACCAGGGAACCGACAAGATTTGGCCCAGGAGGCTGCCAGACCTCTGTTCTGTCCGTTGGCCCTGTATTATCTCCCTTTACAGCCCTTACTGCTGTAGGACATAAACATTAAGGAAAGATGTTTTCTTCTTGATTCCTACTGCATCTTCCACATGAAGAATAATGACTAGCTCATAATAGACCCTTGAAAATGACTTGTTGAATAAATGATTAGCAGGTTTTGGTGAAATTGGTCCATTCATTCTGTGACTGCTGCAACATTTATTACAGTAGACTGCTGCTGTAACTTAATTTTAGTATTGTATTTATGCAAAAGGATGTGGCAGAATTTATCGAGAACCCTAAAATATTTATTAATTTTGACTTTCCTTTGTCTAAGAAATAAATAGAAATGTGAGGAACTTATCACCTCATTATTTATAATAATAGAAATTGGAAAAATAAACCTAAGTGGGGTAGCAGTTAAGTAAATCAGAGTACACACCACTAGATAGAAATATTTGAATATATAAAAAATTATTAAAGCTATTTTTAATGGCAACTAAATAATGTTTCTTTATTTTAATTGAAAAAGACAGATTGGGGTGAATGTTGGTGCAGTGGTAAAGCCATTGCTTGGGACACCCACATTGCATATTAGAGTGTCAGGGTTTGAGTCCAAGCTATGTTCTTCTTCCAGCTGCCTGCTACTGTGCACCAACCCTTAGAGCAGGTTATGTCTCAAACAGCTGGGTCCTTGCTGCCCATGTTAGGAGACCTGGATTAAGTTCATGGCTCTGGTTTCAGAGTATGAAGATACTTCAGAAAGTCTGTGGAAAAATGGAATCAGACGATAAGTTTATTTTGGTACAAAAATGTTTTGAAATGTCTGCATTGTTTCACAATACACCTTTTCCTTGAGCTTTTTGAAGATCCCTGGCACCCATACAAGGACACAATGCTACTGCAATGTGTAGCGTTCTCTTCCTGAAAAAATACATTTGTGAAAATTCTGACCATTCAGAGGCGTGTTCACCAACTAAACACCTCGGGAAGTAAGGATTTTCCCTAGGGGGATATTGCAGTTACTCTGCAGTCTTTCAGTTTCTGTAGGGCGGTCAGGCTCAGGCAACAATGCAAAATGACAGTATTTGGAAGAAGCAAAATAACCTCAACTATCACCACCCATTCATGTCCTGGCAGCCACTTTATTGTCTGTATCCCAGCAGGATATCCTCGACACACTGGCAGTATACTCATGTGATGTGGTGTGTGCTTGTTTTAGGCAGTGGATTCCACCCCCTGGGTTCCTTTTGCAATGTGTAAATGCATCTTTCTAGCTCTCAGACTTTTGATATTTTAGGTTCAAAAACCAGAGAATCCACAGGTATAGGACTCTGTCCTTTTTTAAAGAAATAAATTAGACACTTAACTGTACCTGAGAAAGGAAAAGCAGCCACTGATGTCTGGGAACTGGCCTGACCTTAGTAGCCTTGGTGTTGTTGGGAGCTGGCATGACAACTCAGAGTTGGGCCATGATGTTAGCCTGTTGGACATAATCTGCAGATACAAGCACCAGGCAGGGCCACTCTCAGGCTAGTTTGACAAAACAGTGAGTTCACTGCATGACTTCGTTGAAGCTCAGACAAAACCTGTAAGTAGATACAATGTCTTATTAGAAGGACAGTTGTCAACCTGCATTAGGCTTGAGGGCTCTGGAAAATTCCTGAAAGTACATTCCAAACCAAATCTACCAATTTCAGACCTTGAAATTCTCTAACAGCTAACTACATAATAGCAGGGAGACAGATCCACAGGTTATGTAATAGGAAACAAGTTTGCTTCCTTGAGACATTTAGAACCTTAAAATAATACTAAACACGATGACTGTCTCCAAGCTGTCCATGGGATCATTAAGACTTCACAATAAGAGGGTTTCAGGCAGTTTATGGGGAAGCTTCACATACAGTCACGTCCAGGTTAGTGTCTCTGTATCCGGCTGCTCCTTAATGAGGTTTCTCTCTTCTGAGGGGTGATGCTTTTGACAGCTGGCTCAGCAGCTAGCGCCTCCTGTCATTGCTCTCCCTGGTGGCAGGTGAAGGGCTCAGCTAATACTTCTTCACAATCTTTATCAGTTAGCATGGTACATGTTTCAGTCAGGCTTCTCCAGAGAAACACAATCACTAGGCTATATGAGAAGTCTTCAAAAAGTTCATGGAAAAATGTGTATTATGAAAAAACTATGCATGATATCAGTATTTTTTAAAAGTCTAACATTTATAAGTCTTGTGTTTTGTTATTTCTTTCTTAAAAAAGATTTGATAGGCAGAATGACTGAGAGAGAGAGGGGTGGAGAGGCAGAGAGTGAGAGAGGGAGAGAAAGAGAGTGCTTCCTTTCATTGGTTCACTCCCCAAATGACTGCAAAAGCCAGGTATGGGCCTGACCAAAGCCAGGAACCTGGAGCTGCATCCTGGTCTCCCCATTATTGTGGGGGCTAAATGCAACAATGATTCTAGTGCCTGGTATAATGCCAAATGATGAGCAGAGAACCACTGCTTGTCTTATTCCTATGTCTGTTCTTTATTTTCTACTTAGGGGATCCTGCTCATCCTTTAGACTCAGCTCAAATGCCAGCCTCAAACTTTTCTTCTTTTTCTATTCTCATGTCACTGTGATCTTACACAGTCACGTGGCTTTAAATACCACCTATAGTCTGATGGTCTTTTTAAAAATATATATTTACTGGGGGCTAGTGCTGTGACACAGCGGGATAAGTCACTGCTTGCAGTGCTGTCATCCCATATGGGCGCTGTTTCAAGTAATGGCTGTTCCACTTCTAATCCAGCTTCCTACTAATGTGCCTGGGAAATCAGCAGACGATGGCCCATGTATATGGGCCCCTGCACCCATGTTAGAGACTCGGAAGTATCTCTTAGCTCCTGGCTTCAGTCTGGCCCAGCCCTGGCTGTTGTGGCAATTTGGGGATAAACCAGCAAATGGAAGACCTCTTTCTCTCTGTCTCTCCCTCTGTCTCTGTAACTCTGCCTTTCAAATAAATTTAAAAAAAGATTTATTTATTTATTTTAAAGGCAGAGTTAGAGAGAGAGAGAGAGAGAATCATCCATCTACTGATAGACTCCCCAAATGGCTACAATGGTTGGGACTGGGCTGATCTGAAGCCAGGAGCCAGGAGCTTCTTCTGAGTCATGTGAGTACATGGGCCCAAACACTTGGGCCATATTCTGTTGCTTTCCTGGGCGCATTAGGAGGGAACTGGATTGGAAGTAGAGCATCCAGGACTTGAACCAGCGCCCATTTAGGATGCCAGCACCACAGGCTTGATACGCCTCAAACAGAGCTTTTTACTACCTGACCCAAACGTGATCCTTCAGCAGCCTTCCTCACCCCAGAGGATGGTAGCTCTACTCTCCGGTAACTCAGGGCCCATACTTGGCAGTTGTTATTGTCCATTTTATCCTCCCTCCCTCCCTTCTTCCTTCCCCACCTCCCCACCCCTTTTCCTTCTCCCTTTCTCCTGATATTACATCTCCTATTCATTAGCAAATCCATCTTATGTTGAAAATAAATCTGAAACAGAGCACTTCTCTCTACTCCCACAGCTCCACCATGGTCCAAGCCCCCATCACTCTCCCTAGGTAAGTCCAGAAGCCTTCTCGCTGGTCTTCCTGCTTCCACTATTGCTCCCCTACTGGTTTTACTAGCATTGCAGTCAATGACAATTCAGAAACTGTCATGTGTCACACACAAATTTGCTCAAAAATACCCTGCTTAGCAATTTGTTTGACAAAGATATAAAGCAAAGTTTGACAAAACTATATTTGCAGCAATACTTATACACACGGCCTTTCTTTTTTGGTTTCATGTTATTATTTTTTTAAAAAATTTAGTTCCCACATATAATGGTCTCTTTTTTTTTTTTTTTTTTTTTTTTTTTTTGACAGGCAGAGTGGACAGTGAGAGAGAGAGACAGAGAGAAAGGTCTTCCTTTGCCGTTGGTTCACCCTCCAATGGCCGCCGCGGCCGGCGCGCTGCGGCCGGCGCACCGCGCTGATCCGATGGCAGGAGCCAGGAGCCAGGTGCTTTTCCTGGTCTCCCATGGGGTGCAGGGCCCAAGCACCTGGGCCATCCTCCACTGCACTCCCCGGCCACAGCAGAGGGCTGGCCTGGAAGAGGGGCAACCGGGACAGAATCCGGTGCCCCGACCGGGACTAGAACCCGGTGTGCCGGCGCCGCTAGGCGGAGGATTAGCCTATTGAGCCGCGGCGCCGGCCTATAATGGTCTCTTTACTTGTACTCTTTTTTCCCTATTTTTTTTTTAACTTTTATTTATTTATTTTTTTTCTGGGTTTCATAAAACTTTTACTTGAAAAACATTTTTAACAAAATAACATTCTTCCAATCAAAGAAACTTTCCCATAGGGTACATGTGGCTTTCTGCCTTAAAGATTACAGTATGACATTCAAAGGGAAGAAGATTTTAAAACAGCCACCTAGCTCAAAACTTACAAGAGAAATAGATTTGTTTAAAGTGCCTTTAAAATATGAAAGCAAGTAATATAAGTTGTTGAATCTATGTGAAATTTTAAAACTTTCTTTAAAAATGGTCCATATGGTATGCACAACATTGCAGCTGGTACAAAACTGCCTGTATTTAGTTGGAAACACAAAAACAATGCATGTGAACAATATTCTTTGAAAAATAATTCAAAATGCTGCCACTACATCATAAGGCAATCTTAGACAAGAGTGTTGACAGTATTCAGAGAATTAGCAAAAACAAGCTGAATATTAGAGGATTCAAACATTTACTTTGATATTTTTATGAATATAAATTTCCAAAGTGCAGCTTATGGATTACAATGGCTTCCCCACCATAACTTCCCTCCCACCCGCAACCCTTCCCTTTCCCACTCCCTCTCCCCTTCCATTCACATCAAGACTCATTTTTGATTCTCTTTATATACAGAAGATCAGTTTAGCATACATTAAGTAAAGATTTCAACAGTTTGCACCCACACAGAAACATAAAGTGAAAAATACTGTTTGAGTACTAGTTATAGCATTAAATCTCAATGTACAGCATACTAAGGACAGAGATCCTACATGAGGAGTAAGTGCACAGTGACTCCTGTTGTTGACTTAACAAATTGACGCTCTTGTTTATGGCATCAGTAATCACCCTAGGCTCTTGTCATGAGTTGCCAGGGCTATGGAAGCCCCCTGAGTTCACCGACTCTGATCATATTTAGACAAGGCCATGGTCAAAGTGGAAGTTCTCTCCTCCCTTCAGAGAAAGGTACCTCCTTCTTTGATGACCCGTTCTTTCCACTGGGATCTCACTCGAGGAGATCTTTCATTCAGTTTTTTTTTTTTTTTTTTTTTGCCAGAGTGTCTTGGCTTTCCATGCCTATAATACTCTCATGGGCTTTTCAGCCGGATCCGCATGCCTTAAGGGATGATTCTGAGGCCAGAGTGCTGTTTAGGACATCTGCCATTCTATGAGTCTGCTGTGTATCCTGCTTCCCATGTTGGATCATTCTCTCCCTTTTTTCTTCTATCAGTTAGTATTTGCATACACTAGTCTTGTTTGTGTGATCCCTTTGACTCTTAGTCCTATCATCATGGTCAATTATGAACTGAAATTGATCACTTGGACTAGTGAGATGGCATTGGTACATGCCACCTTGATGGGATTGAATTGGAATCCCCTGGTATATTTCTAACTCTAACGTTTGAGGTAAGTCAGCTTGAGCATGTCCTGAATTGCACATCTCTTCCCTCTCTTATTCCCACTCTTATATTTAACAGCGATCACTTTTCAGTTAAGTTTCAACACTTGAGAATCACTGTGTATTGATTACAGTATTCAACCAAAAGTATTAAGTAGAACAAACCAAAAAAAATACTAAGAGGGATAGCATATTAAGTTGTTCATCAACAGTCAGGGCAAGGGCTGATCAAGTCACCGTTTCTCATAGTGTTCATTTCACTTTAACAGGTTTCCTTTTTGGTGCTCAGTTAGTTGTCACCTATCAAGGAGAACAAGTGGTATTTGTCCCTTTGGGATTGGCTTATTTCACTCAGCATAATGTTTTCCAAATTCCTAACAGGGATCACTTTTCAGTTAAAATTTAAACACCTAAGAATAATTGTGTGTCAATTACAGAGTTCAACCAATGGTACTAGAACAAAAAAAATACTAAAATGGATAAAGTATTACATTGTACATCAACAGTCAGGACAAGAGCTGATCAAGTCACTGTTTCTCATAGTGTCCATTTCACTTCAACAAGTTTCCCCTTTGGTGCTCAGTTAGTTGTTTTAAATCTTTTTTAAAAAAGATTTATTCATTTATTTGAAATATAAAGTTACAGAAAGTCAGAGGCGGGGGAACAGGGGAGGGAGGGAGGCGTCTTCCATCTGCTGATTTACTCCCCAGATGGCTGCAATGGCTGGAGTTGTGCCGATCCGAAGCCAGGAGCCAGGAGTTTCTTCCAGGTCTCCTTTAGGCTCAGCCATCTTCTGTTGCTTTCCTGGGCTCATTAGCCGGGAACTGGATTGGAAGTAGAACAGCCATGATTCGAACCAGTGCCCATCTGGGATGCCGGCACTGCAGGTGGCAACTTCATCAGCTACACCACAGCGCTGGTCCCTACTTGTGTACTTTAGTTAGTGGAGCATTATTGGATCCATGGATAGCGCATGGGGCTTGGAGCTGGAAGAATACTTTTGGAACCATAGGTAGATGGGACATTTTTTATTCAGCCAGCAACAGCAAACAGCAACATAGGTGACCATAATACATTAGCAGTAGCTCACAAGGGAATACTTTTTCATTTATTTTATTTTTAAAATTTATTTCCCCCCAAAGAAACCTTTTATTTAAAGGATACAGACTTCATGTATTTCATGAGTACAACCCTCCCTCCCACCTACTCTCCCAACCCTCCTCCTCCTCCCTCTCCCATTCCCAGTCCCATTCTCTTTATACATAGATCAACTCTATACTAAGTAAAGAGTTCAACTATTTGCATGAAAAAAAAAAACCAAAACCAAACAAAAAAACTGTTCCTCAACAGTCAAGACAAGGGCTGTTCAAAGTCATTACATCTTGAGTTAATTTCACATCTTTTATTTATTTATTTTTAGAAACTTAGTTAACTTCAAAGGAGCACCCAAGAATGATACATCTTTTATGAGCACTTAGACATAATTATAATACAACTCTTTGAGGACAGAGGACCTGCATGGGAAGTAAGTGCACAGTGACTCTTATTGTTAATTTAGTAGTTAACACTCTTATGTATGACGTCAGTGATCACCTGAGACTCTTGACATGAGCTGCCTAGGCTATGGAAGCCTTTTGAATCCACAGACTCCATCAGTATTTAGACAAGTCTATAAGCAAAGTGGAAGTTCTCTTCTCCCTTCAGAGAAAAGTACCTACTTCTTTGATGATCATTTCTTTCCACTGGGGGCTCACCCACTGAGGTCCTTCATATAGGATATTTTTGCCACAATGTCTTGGCTTTCCATGTCTGAAAGGGCTTTTCAGCTTTTAAGGGCTGATTTTGAGGTCAGAGTGCTATTTAAAGTGATTGTCACTCTATAAGCCTGCTGTATGGACTGGGGAAGACTTTTTAAATACAGGGTTTACACAATAGTAGTCATCAATCAAGAAGTCACTGTATCAGTTGTTGGGCCCACTTGACTAACAGAAAATGTGTCTGTCACTAGGACATACCCTGTTGCCATAGAAGCATAGATAAGAGGGCATAGAAGCATACAATTTTTTTTCCTTAAGATTTATTTATTTATTTGAAAAGCAGAGTTACAGAGAGAGAGGGAGAGACAGAAAAATCTTCCATCTGCTGGTTCCTCCCCACATGATCACAATGGCCAGAGCTGGGCTAGTCTGTAGCCAGGAGTCAGAAGCTTCTTCTGGATCTCCCATTTTGGTACCTAAGTGCCTAAGCACTTGGGCCATCCTCTGCTGTTTTCCCAGGTGCACTAGCAGGGACCTGAATTGGAAGTGGAATAGCTGGAACTTGAACCGGCATCTATATGGGATGATGGAGCCACAGGCAGTGGCTTTACCCACTATACCACAGCTCCAGCCCCCAACATGCAATCTTAACACTATTAGCCTGTTTACTTGGATTTTCTTGCAGTTCTGACAAGCATTAAGTCTTTGACTATAATGTAAATTTTTTTAAAGATTTATTTTATTTATTTGAAAGACAGAGTTACAGAGAGAGGTAGAGACAGAGAGGTCTTCCATCCACTCACTCCCCACATAGCCGCAATGGGTGGAGCTGTGCTGATCCGAAGCCAGGAGCCAGGAGCTTCTTCCGGGTCTCCCATGTGGGTGCAGGAGTCCAAGGACCTGGCCATCTTCTACTGCCTTCCCAGGCCATAGCAAAGAGCTGGATCAGAAGTGGAGCAGCCGGGACTAGAACTGGTGCCCATATGGGATACTGGCATTTAAGGCCTGGGCTTTAACCTGCTGCACCACAGTGCTGGCCCCATATAATGTAAATTTAAAATATTATCTCAAAAAGAAAAATTAAAAAAATAAAGTATGCTAGTACATATACATAAAAATATGCATCCTGCCTTTGGAATCAAAGCTCAGGCCCTTAGGATTATGTTCAAGAGCTCACATCTTCTAACATTAACACTCCCCCCTTGTAACATGGATGAGCCTCACAAATATTACAGCTGAATGAAACCACACACAAAAGAATACGTACTGTCTTTATTCACATAAAGTTGAAAACAGGACTAATGGATGATATCTTAAGTCAGGAAAACAGTTACTCTTGGGACGAGGATAGTGAAGTGATTGGAAGGCATGAGGAGAGGTCCTAGGTGTTGGTCATGCTCCAATTCTCAACCTGTGTGTCTATTACATGGATGTGTTCACATTGTGATAATTTGTCAGGTTATAGCCCACAAATGTGTACTTTCCTATATGTTTGCCATATATCAAGAAAAAAATGCTTAAAATAATGCATTGGATTGGTAGATTCATAGTAGAAAAACGCTGTTTTCCTAGAATTCTCAACTAAGGACTTGAAACCTTGCCCTAGTGAGTTCTGTGCATCAGTCAGTAGCTCAGTACTGGCCTGATGCATGTCACATGCCAACTCTGAGGAGTCAGTGATGGCTAGACGTGGGGCTAGTTCCTGGGTCAGTAGTGGCAGAGTGTTAAGGGCAGGAAGAGATGTTGTCATGGAGTGAGTGAGAATTGGCTGCACTGCATCCAGTACTAGCAGTCCTGTTGACGGTGCAGTCCTGTAGGAGCCAATATCTGTCTCAACATATGATACCCATCTTGTGCCAACACAGAGTTAGCTTGAGATTTCAGGAGCTCTGCCGTGAGCTGTAGACACTCCCTTGCAGCCCTCTGTGATTTATTTGCTGATTCACTTTCTAAACCCTGTCTGCATCCCCCTCAAGGTGCAGCAGCATCCTCTAAGTGCTGTGAAGTTCTGGTAGCACCACCCTGGAGACAGGCATTTGCCATTTCATCATTTCTGCTTCCAGCCAGTCTTACTGCTCTTCCTCCTGGGGCACCCCAGAGGCTCTGACAGGGCCATCAGGGCGGTCGGTGGTCTGCCTTGTGGACCCAGAGGACTGCAGTGGGTAGACCACCACTGTTGGTCTGAGTCTAGGTGGCCTGATCTACCATAGTTACCCTTACGCTTCTCTTCACTTTGAGTCAGGGCGAAATGGGTGCTCACATTGGTCTTCCTTCTGTCCTTGGAGCACAAGAAGTTTGCTTCCATCTCTGTCTTTGCACTTGCTGCTCCCTGTGCCTGGAACATCCTCTATCTGATTGTCTCCTTATTTAGGATTTAGTCTTAAAGTTGCCTCCTCAGAGAGGCCTTCTTTGACTACTCTTAGTCATTCATTCCCTAGAAAAACACTAATTATGCAGTGCACGTGCTGTTCTCAGTGCAAGAACTGAGCTGTGGACCAAAGATGAAAGCCCTTTCTTCCATGGAGGATGCATCTGGTGGGAGAGGCAGATAATTCATAAGTAAGTAAATAAGTCAATAATCCATCAGGTAATAATAAATATTATGAAGAAAGCAAAAGCAGAACAAGGGGAGAGGGAAAAGGAGCAGTGGTGGGAGGCAGTGCCATCTTGAGTTGGGTAGTTAGAGGAAGCCACCTCGATAAGGTGACATTTAAGTAGGAAGCGGGAGAAAGTGAAAGGGTGACCACAGGGAATGTCTGGGAAATGGAGTTTTGGGCAGTGGGAATGGCAAGTGCAAAGGCCCTGAGTAGGGAGTGCTTTTTCCCTCCAATTCCTCCCATAATATGAACCTGTTTATCTTCTTCACAACACTTTTTGCTTTTTGAAATGACTTATTCTTTGACTTACTGTTTACATTATGTTAGGGGGCTATTTGAAAGCAGAGTTCTTTCTTTTTTTTTCTCTTTATTAATGATTTATTTTATTTATTTGAAAGACAGAATTAGAGAGAGAGGTAAAGACAGAGAAGTCTTCTAACTGCTAGTTCACTCCCCAGATGCATGCACCGATCCAAAGCCAGGAGCCAGGAGCCAGGAGCCTCCTCTAGGTCTCACACGTGGGTGCAGGGGCCCAAGGACCTGAGCTATCCTCTACTACTTTCCCAGGCCACAGCAGAGAGCTGGATGGGAAGAGGAGCAGCCGGACTAGAACCAAAGCCCATATGGGATGCCTGTGCTTTAGACCAGGGCTTTAACCCTCTGCGCCACAGCGCTGGCCTAGCAGAGTTCTTTCTCATTGATATTTTATCCCTTATGCCTAGAATTGAGCCTGATCTAACAGTGTGTCCAATAAATGGGAATCACTTTTTAGCTTCCTGTGTCAGTTAGGGTTTCAGTGCAAGTCACAGAGACATCTAAGGAAAATCCAAACAAACCAGAGGCAAAGCTGGAGGTGGAAGAGCCAGACTTTGGAAAGGCAAGGCCAGGAGCTAAGGTTCCCAGGATGGGGTACAGGAGTGAGCGGTTGTCCCTGCTGAGCTCGCTGGGGAGATGGCTCAGCTTCCCTGTTGCTCTCTCTGTGGTTCTTCTCTCAGGAACCCAGTAGGACAACTAGGCTGGCTTCATGGGCACACAACCAGCTACACCTTGAAAGGCCTCTGATTGGGTTAGTGCTCCACTGTTAACTATCATAAGATTCTTAATGAGCATTGAATAAGGGTCTTTAATCTTCATTTTGTGCTGCAAATTATGTCCTGGGGCCAGCTGGGTCCTGTGCCCACCACTGCGTTGGCAGGGGCAAGGCAGGGCCCCGATGCCCAGTGGTTTCCCCAAGATCTTCCTTGAGGAAAACAGAGAGGAGCTGGCTGGATTGGGGTGGAGGCAGGCAAATATGGCAGCAATGCTGGAATTTCACTAATCATCAGGTTTACTAGCAGAAGGAGGAAGTGGAATTGGCCATCTGTTCTCATCAGGAGGTAAATCTCATGGTTTTTCAACTCTCACTCATAAATGATGTTTTTCTCATGCCAGGCAGAGTTTGGAAACCTGCCTTCAGCCCTTTAGTATCTGAGTGTTTCCTCAGTTGTTTCATGTTAACATGTTGTTCAGAGAGGGAGTATCTCTGGCCTCATGTTGTGTAATTCTTGTGTGTAAATCATCATGATGTAGGAAGTAGTATTTTCTTGATTAAGTACAACTCTTTGTTTCACAAAACCAAACAGAACCGTATATAGAAAACAAGTCTTAATTATGTGCATAACTGTGTACCTTTTCACTCTTTCAATGATTGTACCACAACTTCTCTATGGTAAACTTGAGGTTTCCAAAAGCATGTATCTTTAGTCCTCTTTGTACAGTATCCTACTTATTAAGTACTTACTGGCACTTTTAAAAGAGTATGCTAATGTTCTTTTGGTTCTTCATGGAATAGTTAGGGGTAATTTTATGGTTTTAGGTTCTGTTATTACATTTGAAAAGGTTTCAAAAAATGTACCCAGATGGGTGCTGGAGACTTGAGAAACTTACACACATTATACAATGAGGAAATGCTTTCGTGCTTTCGTTATGAAGTGATTCATCAGTTTTTGTACAATGTGGTCAGCTGAACTCCCACATTTATCAGCCCTCCCTAAATTCTGTTGAAATGACAAGAAAGTATAAGAAAATGGATGCATCTACAAGTGCGGTATGTTAGAAATTTTGACAGTTGCCAAAATGATAGAAAGTAGATGTGATTGGATGAAAGAGAAACCAGCATAGAGAAAGTTCCA